CCGGCTAAAGGGTTCGTTTCGTTTTCTTTTTTTTTAACTTATTCACACACATTTCTTTTTTTTTTTTAACTTATTCACATACCTCTTTTATTCCCTTACTTCTTACACAAACACATACCATCTAAAATTAAAATTACAATTCTGTAATACTTGAAGCTACACTTTTTCGGCATTAAATGCCTGTGTTGCGAAAGGAACAAGGTGCTAACGACCCGAAAAAAAAGCTGCCGGCTAAATTCCTTCGCCTCGCCCCATCTCCTGACTCGAATTCCCCTCCGTGATATGTAATGATGTGATTAGAAATGAAATGTGAATTGTTTCCGTACTATAAGAATTTTGTAGTGGCAGTTTGAAGCTGCTGCTGAATTTCTCGCGCTTTGTGAGTTTTTGTTTTGTGCTTGTACTAATAAAGCTTTATTTATTAGTTTGGGCAAACGCCTCCCACAGCTCCGCAGCAACACCGTTTCTACATAGCAGCAGTCCCCGCCCGGCCCTCTTTCGATCGTTACACCTAAATACTGACGGTACAGAACCATAAAAAAAGCCTCCGCATACTGTTCGGCTACAGTGATTTATTATGCGCTTTGTGCTGTAAAACGCACATTGTCATAAGGTTGTCTGTGTGTGTGTGTGTGTGTGTGTGTGTGTGTGTGCCTGCAACAACTTGCCCGCAACTTTCAACTCGGGAACCACAAAAACCAGGAAGCTGAAAATTTAGGAGAATGTTCCCCACTCATGTGTGACCCAGCAAATTTAAATTCACCGTTCTCGTACCCCCGGGTCACACGCACAGCCCCGAGGAAGTTTTTTACGGGTAAATTAATATCTCAGGAACCATGGAAGCTAGGAAGCTAAAATTTCATTTCTTCAGTGATACGATTTCTCCCAGGCTGAAACATAAAAATTTTTTGCTGCTTTTGTTGCTCTGAACAAATTGGACAATTATTACCTGGTTATTCTGGATGGCTTCCATGAGCGCCGGATTGGACTGGGCGATCTGCTGGATGATCTGAGGAAGAAGCGACGGATTGGACTGGACCATTTCACGAAGTTGCTCAAATTGGGGCAACTGGCGCAGGAACTCAAGTCCCTGGCTCGGTTCCTCTCGTGCTCCCTCTTCCTGCTCCGCTGGCTCCTGCTGCTGCTGTTGCTGCTGCTGCTCTGCAAAAAAACCCGCAATGGCATAGAATTCAAAGTACGGGAAAGTGACCGGGCAAAAATGATTCCGGGCGCATTTTGCTTCATCAAGTACCATGGCTGAACTGAGAATCGGTGTGGGGTTACATGCCCGGAAGTAGACAGTGGTACGTTTTTATGTGTTTTTTGCAGCAATGCAATGCGAAAAACGCATACTGACGAGAGGTTGTCTGTGTGTGTGT